CATAGACTAAACTACCTACACTCCAAAACTACCATATATTTAAAATGCATTTGACGACTTTAGTGCCGCCTAATTATCGACGTATATAGTCATCGGTCCGTTGTCTTCACTGTTGCTATTTGTCACAATTTTTGATCGCATAGATGATCTCTTTCCACATTCCACGTCTGAACCATCAGTAGGAGTCCAGAAGTCCCTGTTAAGTATGTAGGTAACATTTGGTTGGAAGTTTAAACCGCAGTGATATGAAGTCAATGGTTTTGACATCACATTCTATACATTCCACCCAACTTAAAGAGTGTCATCAAACTAGAGATCCATAGGTTAGAATCGGACGGATAATTAACTGTTATATCCATTTGATTATATGCGGTTTAAGACCCATCTTTTTCCTAGAATAGAGCGTGATTAAGCCTCTCTTTGCGTGCTGCTCAGTATTCTTCTTCCAGTTTAGGTGGTGGTCAAGAACAGCACCGAGATAATTGGTTTAACGTGATTCCATCTACCATTGGTGGTGAGAATTCAGCAAATTTACGTTTCCTCGTGAAGAGGAAGTGTTCTTTTTAGATGGGTTTACACCTAGTCCATTGCTGCTCCCCACATGGATTGTGTAACGAGAGCTGCTTGCATTAGATCTGCAATTGTTTGCACAGATCCACATCGTCTTCCTAAAAAACAACCTTTGCTCCTGTTCATTCCAGATCCTTGACCAAATCGTTAATTACAATCAACCACAATAATGGTGAAAGTACACTGCCCTATGGTGTCCCCTGGTCTAAATATCCGCTTTGATGATTCTGCTGCTGAGGCAGGCTGTGAGGTATAGATTGACCAGTTTTCCGTTCGAAGGTTGGGATCTTGTTTATCCAATATTGTTAGTGCCGGATCCAAGTAAGGTGGTGGCACCGTCCTGACAGTATCATTCAACATCCTTCTTCAAGGAAAAATATCTCCCTCAGACGGTCCTCTATAAGAAGCCATCGATTTTTGCTGATTTCACTTTGCTTCTCAGTTTTGTGAACGATCGCTACACGAATGTTAGTTAGTCTGGGAGTATTTTCTATTCCGTCCGTTTTGTCTTGAAGATTATTATTTGGTGGTTTCCACATGGCCCTTGCCAGACTTGAAACCTGTGGGGGTTCTTGGAACCGTCCTGATCATAATCGGTTTGCTGGCGGAAGGGGTTGAATTCTCGGGTTTTGGCAAGGAGGTGGGTACAGTACCATGATAACAGTATCTTCCGGCGGGGGATTTCCTTCGGGGAAACTTCCTGTTTTCACGACCTTCAGTCATTTGTAAAGGGTAGCTGCAACCTTTTTGCGATGCCCTTTTTAAAGAATATCTCCCTCAGACGGTTTTCGGTGAGCAGCCGTCGACTTTGGCCAAATTTACATTCCTGATCAGCTTTGCAATGATTGCTATGCGGAGTTTAGATAGTCTGGGAGTATTTGGTTTGAAGATTATGATTTGATGGTTTCCATGGGACTGAAACCGACCTGGCAAGGAGTGATTGAAACCGGAGGTTCTGGCAAAGAGGTTTGTACAGCCGATGAATTTTTGGCCGCAGGGTGTGGTTTCTCAGTCGACCGTCTTCAACGTTTAACGTGAAAAAGATTCCGCTTACTCGGAACCGCCGAACCGCAATTTCTGCTCTTTTTCGCAAAAAAAAGTTGTTTTAAACTATTTTATCTAAATGTGACATATTGCCAACGTATTTAAAATTTTGTAACAATAGGTGTTAAACAATTTCAAGTATGTTAAATTTATTTTACACCTTAAAATCTTGTCATCAAATTTCCTAAATCTAAATCGCATGTTAAATCCTCATACTTTGTTAACTTTAAAATAAATTTGGAATATACCAAGCATTTTTATTGCATTGTATGCTACAACTCATACATGCTCACAAACATGTATCTTATTTACATATCCTTGATAAAATGAATGAAATTTTTTGCCCACACAAGTATTATCTGCTCAAGAGCCGTAAGTTCTTGTCGTTGATCTTTCTTGCACAAAAAGTCAACAACAAAGCTTACAACTTTTTTGTTACACATCACCGAACATCTGTATGAATTGAAGATGGTATTTTTGAGATTCTTTTTTTACCATCAGTTTTATGCAAAATCCCCATATCCCCAAACAAAGAACGGAACTAACAGAGTCAACTTTGTTTTGTTGGTAATTTTATTAGAGGTAATTTTGCTAACTAGTTTCTGCTGATATACCCTTGGGTGTTCGTATTAGAATTCGATGTCTTCCGGCATGTGTGCCATAGTGGTTGTGAGACTGTTACACTATCATTATGCTGTAGTGGAAGTCGGCCATTGCTAGTCAGCAAATTGTGCAAATTTGAAGGTCTGGGGAACACTTCCAAGCGTTTGTAGGGAACTTTCTTTTTATTACATTTTCATACACTCTAAATATTTTGGAATAAAATTAGGCCTAAAGGCAAATAATAAATAAATGAAATGCTTTGGAGAGGCCACAGGAAGTAATAGAATGGCGATATAATTTTCGTCTAAATTTATTTAGAGGCGAAATTAACAAGTCTGCTAAAAATATGCTGTTTTTTGTGTACAGAATCGAATTGGTATATCGAATTGGTAAGATATAAACCATTACAAAGATTAGAACTTTTTTCTGATCCATTCAGAAAAACAACTTTTTTGTACTTGTTTTTAATTTTTCATTTTATTCGCTTAAAATTCATTTCTCACAGTGTACAAATCCGTTCATATCTATCCGCATTATTTCTGGCACACAATTTTGCATGTCAGCCACCCTTTTATGTCACAGACAAAGAATTTCAAAATGAAATTTCTGAATATTTACCAAAATAGTGCTATGTTGGTTGTTGTTGGCCAAATTTTGTTTTGGGCATATTCAATGAAGTTGAACAATGCATACTTGGTTGATTTCACAGAACTGCACTTCATTGCAGGGCTAATTTGTTGAACTATGCTTTCTTGAATTGTTTCAACAACCTACTAACCAAATATTGCATTGCAAACATTTTAATCCGCATCAACTGTAAATTGAGTATAAGTGTTGAAATTTAAATATTTAATCTAAAATTGAAAGAGAAGTTGTGGCAAAACTAGTGCTGAAGGCGATGAAGTTAATTGCAACATGAAAAAGAGAACAACAGATTTATAAATGGAAGGGCAAAGAAAATTTTATTTAAAACAACAATTTGATGAAAATCATATTTATTCAAGTTTAAAATCGGACAATTTCTATACCTTTAGCCTTGTGGCTACGGAGGGTATATAATTTGAGACGGTCAAGGCGTCAAGGCCTCAACGAAATAACTTGTTTCGACCCGAAGTCTCTTTGGGCCAAATCCGTTTCAGGACATTTGGAGTCGATCTAGGTGTGTCAGGTTGGTACAAACAATAACTAATAAGGGCAGTATCCGATTTGGCACAAACGTGGTACATCGTAATATTTGTATTAAACATAGATCGAGTTCGGAGATATGCAATATCGGTCTACTTTCTAATACCTCCCATACGTATGCATTCTGAAGTAAACGACGATGTCTGTCTGCTGTAATCACGTTATCTTTCGAACGAATTGAGATAAAAGGCTAAAACGTTGCGGGGATGTGTATTCTAAGACGATTTAGCGATGTCCGTCTGTCTGTTGTAATCACGCTATCTTTCGGACGAATTCAGATAGAAAAGGCTAAAATTTTGCACACATGTTTATTTTGCCAGTAGGCAGGTTAAATGGGTCATGTAGGTCCACGTTTTCATATAGCCCCCATATAACGGTACCTCCCGATATTCGGTACTTTGGTGATTTTAGCGACATTATTCACCAGAATTGTTTCAAATTTAGTATTTGAAGTTCGAAATGGATACTACAGCCTAAGACAGAAAATTGTCTGTGCAGGTCCACGTCTTCGTATAGGCCCCATATATCGGTACCTCCGATCTGGTATCTTTTTGCCTGTTACAAACAACTGCACAAAGACATAATACCCGGTCCACCTTGTGGTGAAGGGTATAAAAATCAGTATGTTCGGTCGGGCCGTACTTTGACTACCCACCACAGTTTGGATGTAATTAACAAATTTTAAAAAAAATTTCGAATGCATGGATATACGAAGACATGGACCTGAATAGGCAATTTTAGGTATAGGCCATTAGAATATTTAACTATGAAATTTGAAACAATATCAGTAAATAATCTCGCTAAACTCATCAAGATACTGAATATAGAGATGAACCATTATATGGGACCTATAAGAAGACAATAGACAATTACCATGCCATTATATGGGGACTATACGAAAACGTGGTCCTGTAGTAAATTTTCTGTTATAGCTTTCAGTACCAATTAGGAACTTTAAATACGAAATTTAAAAAAAATCAGGTGAATAATGTCGCTAAAATCTTCGAAATACCGAATATAGGGAGGTACCGTTATAAGGGGGCTTTACAAAACTGTGAACCTATATAGCCCATTTTCAGTACCAAAAGTATGGTGGAATATTATTGAAAATACAATTTTTTATTGTAATAAATATGATAAATATACTCATTCGTTTCTTTCGACTATTTTGCTAAAACCTCCATAAATTATAAACGAACTATTTATAGGATTGCAGAACAAGTGATTTTACGTCGATCTGTATATATATGTAAGATCCTTTGGGCCCCGCCTAATTTTAAGATTTGTTTCTGGGCAAAATAATGATGTCCGCCTTTTCCGAACATCATTAATGTATTATTCTGGCAATCGGTTTAGCACAAAAAAACGGTAAATAGCATAGATATTTCGTTGGATTTAACGCGTGTATACCTGTTTGTTTAGATTATACCAACACATCTCCCGAATAAATTCCATCCATCCAAAATATGAGATATTGACTAATAAACACTTAATTTCAGCAAACGATGTTAATAGAACTATTTAAACATTTCACAAGTTTTTCTCAGCTTCAACGATTTTCGAATACTCCCATATACTTTCTTATAACCAACGACAAATCAAAGACTTTTTAATTTTATTTATCATCTGCCAAATATAAAATGCAAATATGTCCGTTCATCCTTCCACAATACAAGCCATAAATTTGATTGATTAATACGTCAACGACAGACATTAGGGAAATTACAAATAAACAGTTTTATTTGCGGACATTTTTTTTGTTAACCACAAAGATTTATTTACGGTTATCATCCACTTATAACCATCTGCTTGGAGTTTGCAATGTCTGCTCTCTTCCTTCTTGTACGCGTCAACGGAAATATAGCAATTTGTTGGTGTTGTGGCGCGAGATTTGAATTTCTTATCGTTTTTAGTGACTCATATACCTGAACGAAGAAGAGAGAATTTGAACAATGTACGTGATTATTTTTTATGATAATCTTTTTGCGTCAAGTAAGTTATTGTGTTTACTTTTCATCACCCATTTTCGTGGTTTCCACTCTGTTTGTTGGATTTTTAATGACTTTTTATTTTTTGTCTATTTATTTTGAAGGCTTCTTTAATAAATTCTTCTATGAAATTTCCACATGAAAGACCTTAAAAAGGCACGACGACATTAATGTCAAATCACTCAAAAAGCCTTTATAGGTTTGAAAAAAATTGGATGGATACCAACTGTGTTAAGAAGATGTATTTATTTTTTCACGAGGGTTAGTAATTTCGGGAAAATAAGAAAAACATGCCAACTCTGTCGAATTCCAGTTAATATTTGACATGAAAGAAATTCATGGTGCCTTTGATCAATTTGATGTCGGTCAGGCACTTGTAAGTGCGTTACAAAATAACACTTAACACAATTCCAGCTAATTTTTGGCAAGGAACAAATATATTTATCGAATGCCGAAACGAGGTCAAAAGAAAATACATGTATTCAACTTGTAACGATAATCAGTAACATCTGTTGATGAATTCTGGTGAGGCTTCATATGTTGTTTCCTTAAGTAGAAAAAAATATATATTTTATATAGTTAATATTAAAGTAAAATACATGTAATGATGTTTTCTCTGCTTTTGCCGGGACAAAATGTGTACCAAAAGAGAACGTGCTATAGTTGGGCGGAGATCACCTTGCCATAACTTCCTTCCAATGCATACACTTAAATTAGAATTTTTTGGCACACCTTCATTTTTGTCAAGGTTTTAAAGAATATACAATTACGATGAATATCGAAGAAAATGTGAGTAATAGCGGTATGCTATTAAAATTATACATCAAAAAAAAAAAAAAAAAACCAACATGGATTTAAGTCTCCTTTGGGCTCAGGCGCGAAAAGTGAAAATTAATTTTTAGTGATTGAATACTATGAGACTATCTTCTTCTTCTATATCTATAAAAGAGGAAAACGTTTGTATGTTTGTTTGTTTGTAATTTATGGAATGGAAACCACAGCTCCAATTTTCCTGAAAATTTTCAAGTATACTACAGCATTGCCTGAAAGTAACATAGTCTATATACATTTTTGAAATTCCACTTGAAACTGGAGATATAGCATCAGAATCGGAGGTACCTTCGAAAAATGTAGATTTTTTATGCCTATATCTATTGATCGATTACAAATATAGTCTCCACATGTGGAATGAGTGACGGGATTTGATCGGAAAATATATTTGCCAATTTATATTGAAATCGGCTCAGATTTGGATGTAGCTCTCATACATATTTTCGGCCAATTTCACGTATTTAATGCAATAAACACGCTGTGTATACCACATTTCAATGAAATTCCTAATGTGTGATGGAATTTGTCTAAAAAATGTGCTTGCCAAATTATATTGAAATTGGCACAGATTTGGATATTGCTCCCATATATATCCTTAATCCGATTTCAGGTTTATTGTGCAAATAGTGGCTAATATCAGCCCAAATGGAATGAATTTCGGGACGTACGTTTCCATTTACTTCCTTACAGGTTTGTAATAGTAAAATCCAGCTCCGCATTACAGTATGCTCTACGGCTTTACGGTTACGGCTTTGGGCATTTCTGGTGCCGATATACTCGTTTATATAGGTAATATGTATGAAGTAAATCATACCAAATATGAATGTTGTTGTATGCTAATTCCTGCTTATGGGTGGTTTAAAATGATTATAGTTTTGGAAAAAAAATCTACCGTCCCATAGTTATAACTTATAAGTTGAGTTTGTGTTTAATTTCACCACTCCTAATTTAACACAGATGGAACTTTTGTTATTTATTTCGGGCCATATAGGTTTGGTATAGTCCTGGCTATTTTAGTCACAATTATACAACGAATTTGCTGTGAGTTAACAATTTGTATTTCCAGTATCAAGGAAACATCCAAGCATAAAACTGTCCCTATAGGCCTAAATTTAGGAATAGTCCCTATAAAACGGCCCCAACTACTTTATTGTTTTTTGAAAACTCTAACTGCATTCTCCTACCGATATTACTGAAGTTTGTAGTGTAAAGTGAAACACGTGTGAATCCAGATACTTTTGCATTTAAATGTTTTCTTTACCTAATGGTGGAGGGCATTAGATGTTCGTCCCAGCCCAACTTAATGTCTATTTAATTTGTTAATATTATCTTCCTCGAAGTAACATAATGAACTCTATAGCAATGTCATTTGATACGAGATGTGAAAATTCTTTCGTCAAATTTGATGTTATTCGATAAAGAGAGTGATATACCTCCCACATAATAGTTCCTTCTGATAACAAATTAAAACTGCTAAAGTCATAAGGTTCATATTTAGTAGGACCCACTTTACATTAATTCCTAATATAAAGGTTTATTTCTAATAGTTTTACTAGGGTGCATAATGGTATAGGGTCGGCCCGCCCGACTTTTGACCTTTCTTTACTGTACAAAAGCAGCTTATCATCATGGCTAGGCATATTAATGTCAATTTATAATGGAAGGATTCCATTACGATTCTGGCATCCCATTATGATATATCACAAAATATGCTATACGAAGACTTCAAGCTGCCAATGTATCCACACCTTAACTTAACTATATATCACAAAATATGCTATACGAAGACTTCAAGCTGCTAATGTATCCACACCTTAACTTAGATGTATTTCATATCCGTAGAACTTTTGGTATTTATATAGGGCTATACATCTACATTTAGTATAGTCCATTATAATTGTACTTCCCAATATTCGATATTTTGATAATTTGTGTCACACTTCTTTCTCACCGACATTGATAAAAATTTTTATTTGGAGTTCGCAATGGGTACTACCTTCTATGACAGAAAATTGTTCGTTTACCTCTCGGTACCTCCCTATATTCGGTATTTGGTAATGTAGAAGGTATGTGGTTGCCATTACTATCGTTCCGGTCCATCTATTGATGGACAGATCTTATTTTCGACTAACAAATTGGTCTCAGTTCAAGTATTTAATGATGATGCATCAGAAAATTTTTTGGTTACCAAAAATGTTCTCTCAAAAGATCAAACATCAGATCAATAAATTTTTCAACAATTAAAAAATATGAGATGAGAAAATGTAATGGAAAAGGGCGGTCTGCTAATAGCGACGATTATTGAAAAATTAATATTATTATAAATATTATTGATTTAAAAAACAAACAATCTATTTTAAAACCGTTATTCGTGATGGAATTTAAGCGTGATAGTGTGATTTCTTTATATTTGGCTAGAAAACCACAAGTGGTTATCGTTAGAGCACTCCAGAATTTAAATGTGAATAAACCTTTTGTGTCTCGTACCATCGCTCGTTACCGTGATACTGACAGCGTAGCCCGACGTCAAGGAAGTGGACGGAACAAAACAGCAAAATCGAAAAGTAAAGAAGCGACTTGATCGAAACCCGCGTCGCAGTGGCAGAAAAATGGCTCGTGAGCTGAACATATCGCAATATTCCATTCCGCAAATATTGAAAAATGAGCTCGGGGTAAAGCCATTGAAATTCCAAAAAGTGCAAGAACTTACACTGCTACAGAAAGAAAGAATAGACTCAAAAGAGCTAAAGAGTTGCTTTACTTGACCGAAAGTGGTGAACTGCCGAATATGTTTGTCTCAGATGATAAAACATCATCATCATTGCCCAGCAGTATGTAAACAAACAAAATGATCGTGTTTACTTGCCAAAGAGGTCAGCTGAAAATGTGCAGCTCCGGTTGGCCACCAAAACTCAAGCGCCGGCCATGATGATGGTGTTGGCCGCCATAACAGCCGTATTAATCGACCGTGGCATCAGAATAAATGCCGAATATTATAATGAAAAAATTTTGGAGGGTGTATTATAGCCTTGGACACAACAACACAACAACACACAAACATTTTGGCCGCAGACCTTGGATATTCCAACAGGGCTCAGCACCATCGCACTCAGCAAGAATGGTTACAAAATGAGGTTCCTCGCTTTATTTCCAGCGCACCAAATTCTCCGGATACCATCCGTTAGACTATTGTGTTTGGATTATTTTGGAAAGCAAGGTTGGCACTAAAAAATTCCAAAGTGTCGAACACCTCAAGCAAACGCTTCGCCGGGAATGGGCCAAAACACCGCAAGCAACATTCGGGCAGCGTGTGATGGTTTCATTAGCCGTTTGAAGGTCATAATTCGAACCAAAGGTGACCTATTCGAACTAATCAAAACTTATTTTAAAAGTTGGTGCTATTTCCGAAATTTTTTGTTTTCATTCAAAAAAAAAAAAAAAAAAAATGTGAAAAAATGTAAGAATTATGGTGTTTGACTTTGTTGCAGTTTTTTATCTCACCCTGTATATCCTTTATCCGATTTCAGTTTTTTTTTTGTGCAAATAATGGCAAATATAAGCCCAAATGGAGTGAATTTCGAGACGTATGTTTCCTTTTTAAGGAACTCGGGTCCAATATATATTTTATAATATAATCCTTCTCGAAGTGGTATCGTACAATCTATTTGGTGTAAAAGATTAAAATGTCTCCGTCAAATTTAGTGAAAATCGATACAGAATTGGAAATGCCTCCCATATATTAGTTCCATCTGAAACCAAACTATAACTACTCTAAAGCCAAATGTTGATAGGTGGTATAATCTACTTCAAATAAATTCTTTTGTTGCAGGAGCTCTACTATGTATATATGCATATTGGTGTAGGGTAAAAAATAGATGAAATACTTATTTCTCCAATTTTATTTCGCAAATTTTAGCTACTTATTTCGGACGATATGCCCTTGTAAAGAAAGTGTAAGTAGTTTGATTTGTAAGTAGCTACGACTGCGAACAGTTGGCTGGGAAACTCATTACTTGGTAATATATTTTTTTTTTTTGCTGGGATGTTAAGAGCTTAACTTCTGCCGTTTTTTTTTTTCGCCCATCTTATTCATTGCACATTTTTAGTAGGGGAGTGTCATCTTGCTTAGTATATTGTGGTAAGAAACTTTCATCTGAAATTGCAAAAAGCCATTAAATTTGTAAAACCCGTGTAAATAGATCCCCTAATAACAATTTCAAGTTCCGAAACAGTCTACAAAAACACATCATAAATCTGACGTAATAACTTGTCTTACAAGCTAAAACACACAATAAACAGTAACTTGGCATTGGGGTGTTAACATGTTTTTTTTTCGCCAAAGTTGTTTTTTTTATTATTTCTTTCTTTCCTCCGACACGCAAAATTATTACTTTCTTTGTCCGAAGAACACTTTGTTTTCATTGCCGTCTTTTGGGTGGTCATAAATCAAAAAGTCCATTCGTACAAACATACATACATTAATATGTATGACTGGAATGTGGGTGTTTCGCTATTCGCTTCTTTTCGTGTTGACTTTCTGAATTTCTATTTAGATCGATTCTTGTGTTTGTGTGTTCTTTAAGTAAAGAATATGACGTATGTTCGTTCA